TAAATCATCTTATAAGAGTAAAAGATTTAAGAAAATATTTTTGTGTTTAACCAGCAATACTTTCGGGTTTAACTTAATTAATGGACAATTTTCAAATGCTTTAAACTTGTTATTTTCATGCCTAAGTCGAAATATGTTTTGAAAAAAATTTGTGATTAAAGCCCAGGATCAAAAGCACCCCAAAAAGTAAGCACGTTTTAATTTTCATTGAATAATATTTTATTCTCTGAAAGTTATGATCATGTAAATTTTACAAAATCCTTATTTTGAGGAGGGCGAAAACTTAATTATAGTAACTACAGTAATATCTTTCAAAATTTAACAGATTATCAATTGAGAACTAAAGTCTATATACTCGGTGGAAAAAAAAGATAGCATAATGACACAAGACGTTTATAACACGTATTACTACGTATTTTATATGTCTTAAACGCGTCTTTACCCCATTGATAGAGAATGAATAAAAAATGAGTTATGAGTTATGAATTAAAAATGACTAGCTAGCTATTCGCTAGCTAGTCGCTAGCTCATTTCTCACCGGGTATTTATCAATTTTTTCCGAATTAATTGGATCTTTGTAATTCAATGAAATTAGAATATTATGTAATCTGATAATAATTTCTTCATCAATCTAAAATTCTAAAACTTTTTTGAGTAATAGTGGGTCAGAAAAAGCTCTTCGGCATAAATTTCCGGTTTTACTAGCTCCTGATCCGCCAGCTTTTGGTTCATCAACTCTTCAAACTTGGTTTAAAGAACCAAGTTCTTCAAACATCCTATAGACGTCATTTTCTCTGTGAAAAGAAACTTTTTAAAAACATTTAGAAATTCATGTGGTTTTTGGTCGATAGGCGGGACATCAAAAACGCACTATATTTATTTTTCTTAAATTAATTATGTATTATAAAACCGTAAACAATTAAAATAAAAAATAACTTTTTTCTTTTCAAGAACAACACGAAAACAAATTTTCTTTAGTCTCTCATGCCTTTAAAGTATTTTTTTTAATAATTTTTTTTACAATTTTTTTTTCTTTCTAGAAGGAAAAAAAAAATTGTAAAAAAAATTCTTAACAAACCTCTTCTGTGTCCTCAAAAGCAGAATTCTGCTTTTGAGGACAAACAAGATGTATGCCCTGGTAGCTACTAAATGGTGCTACTGCATATACATTTTCCTTGACTATTGAGCTCATAATACAAGTTTTTGGTAAAAAAATAAAATTTCATAAAGTTCAGAATAAAAAATTTAATAAAATTTATTTCCTAAAAGTGTGTGTTTCTGCTTATAAAATGATAAATGTGAATTAAGAAAAAAATAAGGACTTGACCTCAATATTTAATGATATCTTGCCGCATACAAATCAGCTTATTGTAAACTTTAATTTTTTTTTTTGTTTGAAGATGTTTTTTATTTGTTTAATCTATAAATATGGAAAAGGAACAAATTGGAACAATTTTTTAATTCTTTATCAAAGTTAAAACTTCAAATTTTGTCAAATACATATATTATCATTTTTTTAATGATCTATAAATAAAAAATAATAATAATTACTGAAACCCGACATCTTGAGAATTTTTATTAAGAGTTCTTTAAAATCTAACTTCAAGAAGCCACTACCATTGAACCTGTCGCATTTAGAATTTCATAAATTAGAAAACTCTTAGTGAGGGGGTAACAAAACCCACTATCAGACATAATTAGAAAACTCTTAGTGAGGTAGTAACAAAACCCACTATTAGACATAATGTTTGAAGTAAGTCACTTTTTTGATTTTACTATCGTGCGGTGCTTAATAAAAGGTTTTTGGCACTTGATGGAAAATGAATAAAAAATTATTGAACTTTAAAACGTTCAACCTAATCTGTTTTTATAATCGCGTATCTACAGTATCACGAGACTTTGTAAATCGCGTGACCTTTTAAGCTTTTCGTCGTAATCTTATTTAATTTTTTGTGTTTAAAATCTTAATAGCGTACGTTTTGGTGACGTCATGGTTTGTTTTTTCGATTATTAATCTCGTAATGCCCTATGTTATTGAAAAAAATCAATTTTTAAAACACGAACTAACGTTATTTTAGCTCCTAAAAAACATAACTTTTATGTTAAGGTAAATCAAACTTGCAACGTAGCAAATTTTAACCTTGTTAAGGTGGTAGTAGGTTGGTGGTAGGCCTATGAAAATATAGAGATTTTTAAAATAAATTTGAAAAAATTGTCAAGTTTATTTTTTGAAAATTTTTATACTTTTTTTACTGATATGTAACTCTTTTAGTTTTCATAAAACTAAAAGTGTTTAAAATGTTTTTTAATAATTAGTTTGTTTATCTTAGTAATCTGTAGCCGTTTTTCAAAACGCCAACTCAGTGTAGTTAAGAAGAGATCCCAACGATTTGCATTTTTTAAAAACAAAAACTTACATTTTTAAACTTCAATTTTTGTCGGACCTGTGCACGGCGCACCCTAAATTTGGTGAAGTTCGTATACGAACTCGGTAAAGTTCGAAACGAAAACTTTGCCGCTTTATGATTGGTGAAATGACAGCTGAAACAAATGTGTTAAGTATTTACATTCCAAAAATGTCTCTTTCATTCGAAAGTAAAAAGTCTTCTTGTTTACAGCATTAAAATTTTAAATAAATGACTAAAAAATCCCTTATTTTATCTTTCCATAAACAGTAAAAACGTTAAAATTTTAGTTTTCACATTAGTTTTCATTCTACGCTGAGTTGGCGTTTTCATTCATAACAATTTACTTCCACAACCTCTTGAAATTCTTGAAATCTACAATAATTTTTTTTTTTTAATTTAAAGAGAAAAAAAAAAAAAAAAATCAAAACATTTTTTAAGCTAGTACCACCTTACGGGATTAAATTTGAAGACATTCTCATTTTCGACAGAAATTATTTGTCGCATAAACTTTTCGGTAACTGTGTTTTTTTTTTACGAGTAGAATTCTTGATGAGTTTATTGATTAAATAATTTAAAAATATTTTGTTGTTACACAGGAGTTATACTGGGGTTATTAAATATATATTATTAAAGAAAGTAGTAAAATATGTTAATTACGTTACTTTACATTAAATATATTTTTAAAGGATATCTAGGTAGTCGTCATTTTGACGTAAATCAAATAATAAATTTCTATGTAGCGCAGCGGTTACCTATTGTTTTTATTTTGTTGTTTTTAACAATTAATAGCATGGATATCTTTGCTTTGATAGTTAAACGTCCATATATTCAAACGTCCGTATATTCCTTTGTCCAAAAGTCACAAAGAATTTTAAATAACTTTTTACAGTTATTCAAATTTTGAAAATATTTTTGGATTATTAAAGTGTAATGGAAAATAGAGGATCAATTGTGCTAATGCAAAGAACTGACACTCGTAATTTTGGAGTTAGAAAACCACCATGTAAACAATACTTAACTTACCCCGGCCGTTTCAAACTCACGCCTCTGTGATTCATTTACCGCGTGCTGGAAAGCTATACCCAGGGAGGTTAAACAACAATATTTAACGTGTATGTGAAAACGTTGAAGAAAAGCCTTTAGTGTCAAGTTGAAAGCTTTCCCAACAGCTTGGAGTATCTCGAACTTAAATCCGAAAAATTTAAAAGATTCTGAAAAGCGTTTCGAATAAGATACAGATAGTTTAGGAACAGGTGTCAGCAGGTAATCGGGTACGATTAGAGTATGCTATAAATTTCCAAGAATTGACAAAGCAAAAACCTGATTTCATTAACAACCTTATAATGGGTAACGAGACTCACTTCTATCTAAACAATTGTGTTAATAAACTAAGTATACAGTTTTCGGGAAAATTCAAAAATATACCATCAACGTTGTCTGCATCCTATAAAAGCAACGGTTTGGTGTGGTGTACATCCAAAAAGAGTTCTTAAACCTTATTTTTTTGATAATGATGCAAAAAAATAGTTGCGATTTGTGAAAAGTTTTAAGAAAAACTTAAAAATTTTTTCCTTCTATTTTTGAGGACACACAAGAAGTATGGTGGCAGCTAGAACCAAACTTGCGCCCTTGGTGGCCTAGACTGAATCAATTTTTAAGGCCCTTTTTGAATAAAAAACCATTATATAGTATATAAAGCATTAAAATGTTCGTCGTTAGCTTTTGTATCTTCAATTATTTAGTTTAGCTTTACGGCTTTTATACAGATTTATTATAGAATTCTTTGGTGCAGAATTTATCTACAAGAAATTTAGTGTTGTAATTGTAAATGATTGTGAAAATAAAACTTTAAAAAAATGGAAATATATGTCCAGAAGGAACTGTTGTAAAGCATTCATTACAACTATTAAAATAATATTTTTTAAAACTCCCTGGCTGCAGCCTAGAAGGCCATTAGATAAATTATGCCTTGGTAGTAACAAGATGGTGCTACTGCATATACATTTCCCCTGACAATTGAGCTCATAATACAAGTTTTTGGTAAAAAAATAAAATTTCATGGAGTTCAGAATAAAAATTGAATAAAATTTATTTCCTAGTGTGTTTTCTGTTTATAAAATGATAAATGTGAATAAGGAAAAAATATATATATATATTTTTATTTTAAATGGCCACACTGTATAATATAAAACTGACCGTTTTTTTTCACTGTTTTCAATAAAAGTAATCTCAATAAAAAAGTGCTAATAAAAGGTATTTTTCCTCTATAAGAATTTAAGAGAAAAGTTAGGACTTGACTTCAATATTTAATGATATCTTGCCGCATACGATGAGGCGAAGTTTCCTTTAGAGTTTAATATTCCATTTTTTTAACAAATATTTTTCTCCACCTAACTTTTACCTAGATGACATAAAATTTACCTGCTTTAGGATTATTAGCCTCATGTATATTATTAAACTACTAAAGTTGAAGAAACTCATGTCTTATTAAACATAATATGTTTAATAAGGCATGAGTTTTCAACTTCAATTCGCGGATTTTGTTATGATCGTATCATGATCCGCCTCGCTGATTGACACTAACCAATCAACAAAAGGTCTGTGTATCAGCGCAACACTACGAATATTCTTTCTTAGAAAAATGTAATATTTGCTACAGTTTTACAATTTATGTAGAAATAAAGTAATATATCATTTTTATACTTAAAAAAGAAAATGCCTTCTTTATTTCCTGCTAAATTAAAGTTCTGTTATGGTGTTGGTCATGTGTTAAATGATTTAACAGCTGCTATGTGGTTTTCTTATATGTTAATTTTTATGCATAAAGTGGTTGCTTTTACCAATGTTAATGCAGGTTTTATAATACTTGCCGGACAGATAGCTGATGCTTTAGCAACAACGTTTGTGGGTTACCAATCAGATACTACTGTAAATGTAAAATATGGAAGAAGAAAAATATGGCACTTACTGGGTGTTATTTGTGTTGCTATATCATTTCCCTTCATATTTAGTCTTTGTATATCAAATTGTGCTAATTCTTCACCATCGTCATTAATGATTTATTATATACCATTTGTTGTGATATTTCAATTTGGTTGGGCTTCTACACAAATCTCTCATTTGTCATTAATACCAGAGATTACAACATGTGAACAAGGCAAAGTTGAATTAAATGCTTATAGGTAAAAATTGTAAATATTATTTTAAAAATCATCTATACCAAAAAAGGCATGCTTGTTTACTCAATGTTGCTTAATAGATTTTAAGAAAAAATAAATGGAGCTTTATAATTATGTATAGAGGTCAATCTGAAAATCAAAAAAAATCATTTTAAGTTGTAGTTTTATTAAATTATGCTTATAAGTTCAATTATTATAATTGTATAAATATTATAATTATTTATATATCTAAGTTTTAAAATGACCAGAATTTTCACTATGGAATTTAGGGATGGCTCAAAAACATTAAAAAAAATTTTAATTATCAATATCTTATTTCATTATCAATATTTTATTATTAACATCAATATCAATATGTAATATATTGAAATCACAATAAAACAAGACCTCATGCATAAAATTAAAAAATGCCTAATAAAAAAAATGGTAAAAAATTTTAATTCTTTTTTCAAGTAGCTAAAAAATTTGTTGTATATTCATATATTAAAATATTTTTTATCAGAAGCAGGAAGGTATTTCTTTACAAATAGGATAGTGAATAAATGGAACAGCCTAACCAATAAAGTTGCTAATACTGATATTAATACTAGGCATTTCTGCCCATAATTTTTTATTTTTCTTTGTTTCAACAATTAGAAGTTGTAACTTAAAGTAATATCTATACTATTATGATTTTCTTAAAGCACATTTATAACAAAATTATTTTAATCATATTACTACCTGAATACCATATTACTACCTGACTACCTCTTTATTTCATTAATTTTTAGTAAACAGTATTTTGCTACCATTTACTAAATTCCTTTTGTTACTCAAAATTTAATTTTCCTAAATATATTTTAAAAACTTTAGCGGAATGGTCACACACGAGCAGTGACGCCTGAGGAAAGAAATGAAATATATTAGAATAAATGAGAATTATTTATTAAATTTCCTAAATATTATGACACTAATAAAGAGGTTCCTCCCCTCTTTTTGCTTTAATAGTGGCTATTTAAAAAAAGTTTTTTTTATTAAGAGTATTCAAGTTTTTGATGAAGACTTTTTACCAAAATAATAAAATGTAAAACAATGATTTACGTATATAAGAATGTTTTCTTTCTTTCCTCAAAAGTGTTGCAAATGCTAACTAGTTAGTTAAACACGTAAATAAAAATTTAAGTAACTCGATATTTGACAAATGCGATATTTTATGCGAAAAAATTATTAGGCATAAAATAGATAAAATATTAAAAAAATTGAACTAATTGTATATATTTATATCTTTTTAACTTACAAAAATTTACAATAAATGGAAATCAGGTTTTTTTTTATAAATCTTATAAATGTGTCATAACGTAAATCTAAAATAAAAAAGTGATGGAATTATGATATCATAATTACAAAACAAACAAAAAAACACCACATAAAAACTGAAAATAGATTTACCTATTTATAGTAGCCTATTTTGAAATTGCAGTTAATAAAATGTAACTATAAATTCTGTTTCAATGTACAAAAGGATTAACAATACTAAAAAAAAATCAAACTAATATATAAATTGCATTTTTAGCAAAAGGTTGTCTTGCATTTTAGTAAATAAATAATCTCAGTAAGTTCCAATAAAGAAACTACCTATTATTCTATTTTTAACAATAGATACCTACGGGAAGGTATTTTTTTACTAAACTTTAATCAAGTATATTTGTTTTTATATTCAATATTAGTTATTCAATTATTTCAAATTTAGGACATTAAAGCACCCTAGATTTAAAAATTAAGGTTGCATACTCTCTCATACACATTACACTAAATATTAACAGACTATTATGTGTTTCCAGCATAATTAAAAAGGATCTAAACCAGCAACACTGCCAGGCACTAAATGCTGCCAAGTTACACATCTGCTATAAGTACACTGCTTGGCTGGCAAGGTTATCAAACTTGCTTAACATAATACCAAGTCACACCACTTTGAAAATATGGAAACATCATAATTTAAACTTATATACAACTATAAACAAATATGATTACACATAAACACATTTTATAATAATATTAAATGACAGATATATTTATCAAAAATTATGAAAAAATAATGATAAAAATAATAAATAAAGTTATACATACAAAATGTGCTCACAACCTTTAGCAGTAATTTTCGGAAATCAAAATCTAAAGACTATAAATTAAGAACATTAGAAAATATAACATTATTTGTGTAACACTTTTCACCTAAATTACCTTGGAATAGGATGTTTATCAATTTGAAAAACAAACTATTAAATGCTCTAGTTCTTGAACATGCAACATATATACCATGAGAGAAACACGGTTTTTGAGTTATGTCTTTTGTCTATAAGTTTAATTTTGCATTATGTAATATATGGACGATCCCTAAAGTAAAATACTTGAAACTAGAAAGATTTTATTTATTACAATACTTGAACAACCAAGGGACAATTATAGTTATACAATTTAAAAAATTATATCTTTAAATAGCAAGCAACTCGTAAAATATATCTTATAAATGGTCATTATCAATTGTAGTATTAAAAAATGCGCAAGAGCTTAGAAATTAAATGAGTTTTATCAATTCTCCTTGTGCTAACTCTCATTAAAGTCTCATCTAAAAGAAAGAACGAGGAAGTGTTTCAAAAGCAGCATGTTAAAAAAAAGTAAAAAAGACATGCAATAAATAACAGTAACTGGTTTTATTATGCTACTAATAAACAAAATTAATTTGACCTTAACCAAATGTTAATTTCCAGCATTTCTTAATTAAGTTTCAGCTTCTCTTTAACTGTTGACTAATGATTAATATATTAAATTTCACATCATATTAAATTTATAAAATTAAAAACAACTGATGACTAAGGCAACTTAAAAAAAACAACAAAACAACATAATTATGTTTGAGATTACAAAAGAAAAAATTAAAATCATTTAAATTTGAAGCTGTTATTAATTGTTACTATAAATATTAAAATTCATACTTTTCTTGATTCTAAAGTGTCTAATGTGAAATCAAATTAATAAACATCACCACTGCTTGACACTGAATTCTGGCAAATAAGTTTTCTATTCATCGAGCTGAATTTCTTACAATTCAATGACAATTAATTTTATCATGCCTAGATCTATCTCTTTTATTTGACAACAATTTTTTTCAAGTCGCCTATTACCATTTACACTAATAACTTCTTTAAGCTTAATATTATACATCTACTTTATCCATGTTTTTAAATGCAAGAGCAAACTTTGTTCCGTAATTGTTTACAATTGAAACATTTTATTTACTGCTGCAAGTGTATAATAAATATATAGTTGATAATATTTTTGTGATCTGGCCTAAGAGTACCTACACGATGATAAATCTGGCCACATGTTTTAAAACATGGAGGCCCATTTATTGGTTGAACTACATCTGCTTAAAAAGAAGTGAAAGACAGGCATTTTAATATGTTTTAAAATTTTTTTTTTAAAACATATTAAAATTTATTTCTCCAAAATAATTACAATCTGGAATAGCATTACTTCTTGCTATAGAATACATTTGTCCTTGTCCAACAGCTCTTCTTACATTTTGGCGACGATTAACTTTGCCTCAATTTAGCCTATTTCTTTCATTTCAGCGACGATTAGCTTCGCCTCGATTAAGCCTATTTCTTTCATTTTGTAAACAATTAATTTAATCTCGCCTAAGTCTATTTTTTTTGTTTTGTCTATGATTGTTTTCAACATGCCCTATAGCACTAACATCATCTTGTAAATACTAACTTTATCATCCATTTCAATGTCATCATTTTCATTAAACATATTTATCAAAGCAACACTAATTATTTCTCTTTTTTACTACTCTAAAGTTAACAATAAAGTAAAAACTTAATAAAATGGCTAAAAAATCTTACTCGAAAAATTAAAAAAAATTCTCAAAACAAAGAATATATATAGAAACCAAATAAATGCAAAATAATATATATATATATATATATATATATATATATATATATATATATATATATATATATATTACTTTTAAAAATAAGACAAATTTTTTAATTTTATTTACAAACATTTTATTATTCAATACATGTTTCGACTATATATAGTCATCATCAGTTAAAATATATTTGTTAAAAGTAGTATAAAATATAATATATAATTGTAAAAATAAACATAATAAAAGCCATAAAATTGTAAACAAACTTCCTATATATTTTTATTATTCTTTTATTATGTGAAAGCATGAAACTACCCACTGTGTTATTTATATTAAGAAGAAATAAAAGCAGTGAGTTCTAGTAACGAAACTACCTATTAATCATTTTTAATGCCAGACACCAACATCAAAACAAGCCGAAGGTAACAACATGCAAAAAATTATCAAAGATAATGTTATGTGTTTTCAGAATAGCTATATTGAAGGCTAGACAACAATTAGACCTAAGACAGTAACGCCGCTTGACTGGTGAGGTTAACAAATTTTGCTCTACATGTTTACCAAGTCAAACCACTTTGAAATCATGGAAACAACATTATATAAACATATATACTAACTATAAAACACAACATATTTTTTTAATGTTACAGGCTTGGTCGGGAAGCGGGTGCGATCGCACTCGATAATTGACCACGGAAATTGTATTTACTTGCGAAAAGCTGGCCAGATTTTTCAGGCTTTTTGAGAACATTTAAGTTTATGTATGTTTCCTTGTTTGTCCGCAAAATAATAAATTTATTATTTTATCGTAAATTTTGTTTTACGGACGTACATGGAAACTTATATAAACTTGAATGTTGTCAAACATCAAAATATACGCGAACACAAAAAACCCGCCAAATTTACAAACAACTAACTCTATTGGTTCAGTTAATAAATAACTGAAATTACTAAAGAATTTAAGCAAATGTTCTAGAGTATTCTGTTGAATTATTTTTCAAAATTGTATAATTTGAGTTTTGTTATGTTTTCGTTGAGATTTCTAGCATCAGTTGTTTTAAGAATATACTATCAAAGGAAC